GGCTTTTTGCCCAGATTCCAGGGTTAATTCGATATCGTGTGTGACTGCTGCAGTAAGGTCGACCGCAGAGCGCTTAGGGAGGGCCTCGATTTGGTTTGGGCTGATTACCCCTCTTAGTAGGGCTGTTGTTGCCATCTGTTTTGTAACTAGCCTTTCAAGGCCCTTCCCAAGGCATGATAACAGAGCAATCGGCCTGTATGATTTTGTGGGCACATCAATCTTGCAGCCGGGCACAGTACTCAGCTACCAAGACGTCCTGCTTAATATCCGGCTCTCCTAAACACTCCATCTGCAAGCGCAGCTCAGCCACCTGTCACAGTAGTCCATGAAAGCCCTTCTCACCAGGCTATTCTTCCTATCGAACAACAGCTCGAGTTTCAAACCAAGTCCTGGTCCTATCCGTTACTCCACCCAACAAGCCACTCGGCACGACGAAAAAGTACGGGTCGCAAGAACCGCAAGCATTACGTACACAAGCCAACAACTCCAAAGACGCAGAAGCAAGTCAAGAACGCTCGGAAGACAACAAGGAGGCTGCCAAGCGCAGCTTCCATACTATCTTCCACACCCTGGCCCTGGAGAACGACCATGCCGCAATGCTGGAGCAGCAACAGCCGGTGGAGTCTGAGATGGTGCCAGAAGCCAATTGACGGCGAAGATACGGCTAGCACGAGATACTCTGCTTTCGCAGCCCCGGTTGCTGGACTTTACACTGTTGCCATATGCTGTCCCTCGAGACATAGTATCCCTTGATGTCCCGGCTGTTCATCATCCCCGACGTCCAGCGGTACCACAGCTCCTAAACACTCCCGTTGCGAGTCGAGACTCGTGAGCATGAGCATACTGACGCATTGACGCTCTCAATGCAGCCCCCTTTTCGGACTCCGAGTCACTAAACTTCACGATGTCCCACCACCTCAGATCTCGCGTATGACGTTATAACAGCTGTTATTTTTCTTTTCCTTCATATTTGCCACCACCCTGAGAGCTGGCTAAGGAAGGCTAGCGGTACGCTTTCGGTCTTTACAATGGTTACTTGCCGTCAGCCGACCGACAGCTTTGCTCCGTGAGGCCACGAATCAACGGGCTCTCCTATTCGAGGACACACGTGTCGTGAAGTTTTTTCCCCGTTGCCGGTCTGGCTTTGGGTGTTTCTCTTATAAGATCACTTATTCCCTAATAGATTCGACAGCTACACGTTGATTTCAATAGTAAATTAACACTACTGGCTTTCGCTTTCTGTCTCGCTTCCTGGCCTTCGCTTGCTGTCTCACCTCCAGTATCGCCTCCTAGCCGACCTTCAACACGATTTGCCAACTCGTCCTCCTACTCCGGTCTCATGTGTTGACCATTTTGTTACGACGTTCTGGCCGACTTCTTGTATCGACCTCCCGACCGACAGCTTGTCCCGACCTTCGCACGGACTTACCATCTCGACCTTATAGGTTGTGTGGACTTTCCATCTCAACCCGCTATCCGACTTCCTCCCAACCTTCCCTTCTAAGCTTCCTCTCGGTCATTTGATCATTTCGACATACCCTTTCAAAGCTCGTCGGACCTTTCCAACTCTCGCCAAGTCGTGCTTCTACCTTGACTAACGATGAAGCGCCCTACCTTGTCTTTTAGAGTTGGGAGCCAGAACTGGCGTACCATTGGTACTAGCACATTGAGAACACCACGCCGTACGTGGAAGATTTTCGTATTGATTTCATGTGCTCGGCGTAGGGATAGAACGGCTTTGGTATGTTCTCAAGTAGATAAGACTCAATCTAGGCCTCTTGGTGCGTACCTACGCGCGGCACGTTGAGAACTGGTTCGACGGAGGAAGCATAGCTCTGGTATGAGTCTGGTGATGTAATGAAGCACCATGAGCTTTGAGCTTTGCGAGCATACATGTAGATATACTTGCGGAGGCATATCTTCTGGTGAGTATTGACTATGGTCGGGGCGGTTTGAAAAAGAGGAGAGGAAAGTGGATGCAGTATTGGCATTGCGTAGATGGCAATGGACATATTCTCTGTTCCCTTCTTCGTGTTTCTCACCTAACAGGACATGCTGCCAGCTGCGTCCGGCGGCCCTTATCCCTGTTGCTAGCTATCATTACTAGGCATGCAAAGAGGCGTTTAACGCCCGGCGTACTTACTTCTTGGAGCTGCTGGGTTGGGAACGTGGAGCTTGTTGACACCGCCCACCCCCGAGGAGAACTCAGACTAGCAAGGGGAGTTCTGGTCGTACCAGTACCACCCGAGTCCGTAGCACCCACGGCCCGGCGGCTGTGTTGACTTCACTTCACTTCACTCGTCTAGGGGTTCCGGCAAGTCAGTCTACTTTTCATTGTTAAAGTTCGAGTTCTACCGATATTGCTGTCCAAGCCTCTCATGCTTTACACCCGGCCAGGTCACCTTTGACAGTCATCATGCCTTGGACTTGGTTCTAGGTAACTCCCCTATCTATCGTCCTACCCAATCTGCGCAAAAGGGGCTCGTGCCTGCAAGGCTCACGTTCACGGGGCTGCTGCTGATGTTATGTCTCGAGTAATGGGCAAGCGATCAAGAGGTAGGTAGCTGCCTTTATGTGTGCTCGAAACGACTATCTATCCTTAATACGTAGCTCGGGAGTAGGAGTCCCGTGCCTCAAGTAATAATCAGGCACCACGGTGATAGGAGGTCAATGAACATGGGCTATGCCCCCTGGAGTAAGAAGCAAGCGTCGATAGAGCCGCTCAGTAGTCAGGATATACGAACTAGATGACGAAGACGAAGACGCAGGGCGAGACAGCAAGACAACCCCGCACCGAGGGCTTTCGGATAGGCTCGGCAGCGCCAGGTCTACTGCGTTGTATACGACAGGTCACTTGGTCTCATGGTCCCATGGGCTCGGGGGCTGGTGATGAACCGACACGACACCGCGGAGCTCATTGTTTAGGATTTGGGCTGGCTGAGTTGAGTACCTAGTCGAAGTGAAGTCGAAGTCGAAGTCGATCAAGCCAGCTGGCATCGTGATGGCTTCGAGATGGCATGGCATGGAAAAACGCCGATACCGGTACATCCTCGCCGAGGTGAGGCGTAGGCAGCGAATATCACTTCACACCTGTTCGCTATGCATCGTAAATCGTGAATCGTGAGTCGACTTGGAGGCCGTGTTGAGAGTTTCTTTTGGTTGTACGGTACTTGGAATAGTCGTGACTCATGAGACCTTTGCTAAGATCAAACCGCTGACTGGAATGACTCGGTGATTCCCAACCCTCCCGGCTAATGAACTCAGAGGCATGTAGTATCACAGTTATTATTAATCTAAGCTCTGTCTGGCACAAGAAGTCGTTATGCTCGGAATAAGACCGCTCCCTCGAGAACCCGGAGAATATCCAGAGCTAGGTCGTGTGTCTGAACCAAGAGGCCGAGAAACTGTCGAGCTGATAGCGCGGCGCGCCAGGCGCGAGAAGGGAGATGCAGACCGAGAATTTACGCAGAGCGGCATGTAGACTCGAGCAAGGTGACGGATAAGTTCAGGGAACCTTCGATCTAGCATAGCGGTAAACCTCATCGTCTAGTTACGTGGTCCTCCAGTAAATCATCGGACGATACACTGCGTGCTTATAAAGTGTTAATAGTATATCCGATGGGCAACGAAGACGTCGCCGAGGTACTCTAGATCTTTCGCGTTATAAGAGAAGAGCAAGTCTTATTTGCTATGTTAAGTATCTAGCTATATTTAGACCTAGCTACTTCCCGACTACAGCTCTCATGTTTTTCCTACAGGGATCACACACTACATCTCACCGCATCTTAACACGGTAATATCGTTACACTTGCCACGGCGAGGAAAGAGTATTGAGATGTACGTTACTAGCAAGTTACTCGTAAGCTCAAAGGGGGCTGAATAAGATGAGATGGTTAGGTAGACTCAAACCCAGTGAGAGCCCGAGGGTGGTGGTGTCGACTATCCCAAACGCAGATCCGTCTGAACTACTAGCAGAAGAGAGAGACTATGGGCGAGACGAACTAGAGGGCGATTCTGGACAGTGGTGCAAAGCTCGAGAGCGGGCCTGAATGAACAGGGGACTGGACAAACAGAAACGGGGTCAGTCGATGGGGCGATATTGCGTACGGTAGAGATGACCTGCCCCGCGGAGCAACCTAACAAGCGGATGGAAATGCGCAAAGCTCATTCAATGGAGCCCCGGCACAACCGCGACAACGAAGACATGGGCTTTGCGTGATAAGCCGCACCAGCTCATCTAGCTCTGCCTTTGGAAACGGCGGACGGCAGGGCTGATTTGATGCTCTATCGGTGGCGTGCCCGCTCCTGGAATATGGGCGTCCTTGCACCTAGCAGAGCGCCGGAAGTCGCCGGTGGAACGACGTTGAGAGACCAGCGAGATGAGGTAAGGTGAGGATATGGTCTCGCAATCGACAAGTACACGCCATCATTGTAGTCAGGAAGCCCAAGCAGGCAGCGGAACAGCGCCTGGGCATCTTAGAGGTCGTGCGGTGCGTCGCAGTCAAGAGCGGATCGCATCGGCTTTTCGTCCTCGTGAGGATGCAGGATTGTCGTCGTTTGGAGCGTTGCATCGCTTACCGGGATCAGTCATCACGAGCCGGATTGGCTTGCGGCAAGGTCAGTACCGCGCGCGACGACAGTCAGTGGAAAGTGATGGGATGGTCCGGTGTGACACGTCGCGGCGTCCGGCCGGTACGAATCGGGGCGACGGAATGGATTTGTGAGAAGAGGGCGGAGAGCAGGGCAGAGCTCGGGATCGAAGCGTCGAGCTCGCCGGCGTGCAGGAAGGTGGAAGCAGAGACGAGGTTCCAGCCGGAGCGGTGTCAACCATCAGGCCATAGGCGCCGGAATTGACATTGGTGTCGATGAGGGTGGGTTTCGCATTGCCGCCATCGAGAGAGGTGTGCTCATCCCATGGGTTGGATTGAAGTCTGCTTGGAAGTCGAACTGCCGACGCCTCATCTTTGCATTCTCCGCAAGTTGCAATCCTTCGCTGCTGCCTAGATTGTGCCTCTCGCTTTTTCGCCGTCTTTGTCATTCAAACACAGGCTGGCAACGCCAAAGTCTCCAACCTCGCCGCCAACGATGCCGCCAATGGACCAAACCTGCATATCGGACAGGTCATTCATTACCTTCTTCAGGTACTGGCTGTCGGCCATGATGAAGGGTAGGAGCTTGTCTTTGCTAGCGACCGAGGAGACAAGAATATTGTAAGTACTCCAGCTTCTCACTTCTCATCATGCTCATAGCGCCTCCTCTCCCATCGCTTTCGTCTCGTGCTCATGGTGTTCCGAACGTCCAGAGTGCTTCTCGTCACGTCTTGAGTGTGAAGGCCAGATCTGGCAAGGCGAGATGCGCGGACGGTCAGTCGAAGTCCCAGAGGCTTTGGTCCGAGGAGCAAGGCGCGCCTCATTCCGGTATCGATCCAACTGTCGTCTGATGATATGATTATGATTCTGCATCAGGAAACGAAGACAGGCTGATCAAGACAGACCGGATTCCACGCCCTACCCCTCCAACCCCACACCGAAGCCGATTGGCCTATGGCGGTAGCTACCCGTGGACCCCGCGTATTGCATGGGAGCATGTGTCGAACGCCCCCACGAGGTCTATGCACCTACCGATGACAGATGTCCGGGGTCACGCGTGCAAAATATGCAATGGACAGGTCTTGCCAGTTTGATTGATTTTTGTGCCGGTACGCGTCCCGACCTTTCTGGCCATCGTGGCTGCCATCAAGGTTTCCCATTACCGCGGCGGGACATGTGAGCCAGTTCTGTGTCTTCTCCTTCTTCTCCTTCTCCTTCTCCTTCTCCTTCAACCCTCGCTCTGTCTAATTCCTAACCACTTGTGTCTATCGTCGATCAGATTCACATGACAGTTGACTCTCTTGATCACATCAAGAGCTCCAGGCGATCAGATATTTCCGCGTCGGTGTATCCATCACGACCCCACTTACATCTTTCTGCCAACACCTGCACCCAAGTCAAGAAACCACAGCACTGTCTCGCCTATACTGCCACTTGCTAGACCTGCGCCCGGTTGGCATTGACAACCCATGGCGTAAACTCGACGCTCCGCCATCTGCCTCACTGCCTGCCTCGTTACTGTACTTACAACGTGACCGGCATGCCGCGCCCATCCACCTCTCGACTCGACCTCCCGCCGGACCACCCCCTCAAGAAACCCGTGTCAAAGCGGAACCAGCAGAGCGTCAGTCGCATCAAGGAGCTGTGGGACATATTCCCATGGGAGCTGCTCCCCAACAAATCAAGACACCAACCCTCGTGGTCCGACAACCTGATCGACTCCATCAAGACCCTCGCTCTTGCAACCACCCTCCCCTACGCCCGTCGTCAAGTCACGAAATATCTTGGGTCTTCGCCACACCTAACCCCTACTATCATCCAAAAAGCAGTCGTTGCTTGTAACGAAAACAGCGCCGCTCCCAAGAACCCCCTTGCCGGCGCCGGTCCCGTCAAGAGGCGTCCCGGCCGGCCGCGGAAGAAGCCGGCTGTCCGTCAAGTAGGAGAGGGAGGCGCGAGTGACACCCCCGAAGACAACGAAAGCGAACAAGGGCATCCACACCGGGACTCCCCAGACGAACTGGGTGACGGTCACCCCGAAGAAGAGGAAGAAGACGACGAGGGAATGGGAGAAGACGGACAAGAGTCGGAAGAAGATCACCTATCGTCTGGACCGCGCATTCAGGACTTGTACGACATTCGCTCGACAACTACACCGCGGCACACAAAGTCAGCCGACAACAATCGCCCATCATTTCGACTGAAGATCAAGAAGCTGCAGTTGTCTTCCCATCCGCCAGCTAGCCTGGGAAAACATCCTCGTCGCGAATCGACACCGTCGCCTACAGCAGCAGAGGGGGGTCACACTGCACCTGCACCTCGCACTCCGAGTCAGAATCAAACTCGGCGCCAAGGGCCACAAAACCAGCACCCCCTAAGCAGAGGTGCCTCACCCGAAGTGTCCACCCCAGGCACACAATCTCCACGGCAGCCTGAGGAAGAGCAAGAGCAGGAGGACCAACCGGCTCATACCGACCTCTCCAACACCCCTCCGCCGCCCTCGGACGAACATCTCAACGACGATATTCGTCCACGGCGTACAACCATCCCGCCTACTCCCGATCAAGGCAGAATGGCTGCCTCACCGTCACCGACATCGTCACCGACGTCACCCGATCCCACAGCCCATCGAGACAAGCGCGCACGACTTGCAAACGCCACCGACGATGCACATGCACATGCACCCGCAACTCCCGCAGCCACGCAGTCCGATGCCACACAACCCGAACTGCCCGACATGTCCGTGGACGCCGAACCCACAACCTTTGCGATCCCCAAGCCTACCGGCGACATCACAGCCGCGACTTCCTTCGTCATGACATACCTAAAAGCCCAGTTGAGCTACCTGACCGAAGAGAAAGACGCCCTACGACTCCAAGTATTGCGAATCCGCTCCCGAAAACAGAAGCTGGAAATGAGCAAGGAACAGGACAAGACAGCGGTAAAGGCCCTGCACCAGAAACTGGAAGAGCTGGATCGGGAAAAGGTTCAGCTGGAGAAGAATAGAGACAAGGCCCTCGAGTTCCAACGCCAGCAGGACGCCGTGGCCGAGAGCCAACGCAGGCTCCTCGCCGAGATGGATGCTTTTTCACCGGCGGGCCTCGGAGTCGTACTACCACCCTCCCCCTCTCCCTCCCAAGAGCCCACCGCACAGCCTAGTCGGGCCGCGATCATGGTGCAGGCCTTCACGGACCAGATCGACACCCTAACCAAACCCAAAATCGAGCCCGCGAAGAAAGAACTGCACGACGCGGAGCTTGCTGTGAACGCGACGGAAAAGAAGATACAGAGTGTCGATAAGGAATTCAGGGAGCTGAAGGAGGCGGGTGTGCTGCTTCATGATAAGCTCTGGCGGTGGAGGGATCTGGTGGAGGGGTTTGAGGACTCGGCTTTGAAGCTGCGGCTTATGGTGAAACCTGAGGGTGTGGTGGATAAGATGGATGGTGTTGAAGGGGATGGTGTGATTGATGCCGATCACGACCACTGGAGCGAGTTCTCGTTCTTTCGGGAGCCGCTTACGCCTACGCTGACTACTGGTTCTGGGTCGGGAGGTGGTGGAGGTGGTTCTGTTGCGGGCGAGACGAGACAGAAGACTCCTGGTGGCCCGTCTGGTGGAGTTGCTGGTGGTGAGGGTGGTAATGGAACTGACTCGCCTCAGCTTGGACGAACACCTGTCAAGGCTACGGCGCGTGCCAAGGGTGTAGGAGGTGGGGGAGGTGAAGGGGGTGAGAAGACGAATGGAGAGCAGGGTGTTGATGGTGTGGATGGAGATGTGGATGTGAATGGTGGTGAGTGAGATGGGGTGAGGAGGTGATGATCACCATTGATGCGGCACTGTCGCATTACTCGAGTTTGCTGATGTGCTGGGTATCGGCTTCGATGCGGCACTCGAGTTGGCTGATACAGTATTTGGATTGGCTGATGTGCTGGGTATACTCTACGCTCTTGTCCGAAGGCGTACGTATGAGCCATGGCTGGGTGACACTGATGGCTGTGGACGATAATGGCTATGAGACACTGATGGTTGTGGACCATGCTACGGATGTCCATGTGTTGATATACCTACCTGTAGACTACTTACTGATATGATAGTCTCCTGGCAGATATGTCATTATGCTTGTCAATCTACAGTCTTCGGGACTTGGTTGTCTTGCTTGATGTGCTTGATGTGTATGATGTGCAGGGTATACTCTATGTGTGTCCGAAGGGGTACTTATGGACTAGTTATGGCTGGATGATATGACGTTAATGGCTGGATGATGACCTGAAGCTGATGGCTGTGGACGATAAATGGCTATGGACTATGGCTGTGGGATGGTGCTCTGGATGTTTATGTGTTGATATACCTCGGTAGACTACCTAGTACCAGTAGTCTACTGGCAGATACCATTACTATGTAGACGTAAATGGTGGCGAACGGTGGCAAGTGAGGAGGTGATCATCTTCCTTTGCTCGGCACTCGACTTAGCTGATGTGCTAAGTATAAGGTACTCCTCGTTTTTGTCCGAAGGCGTATGTATGGGCTATGGCTGGATGACATGACGCTGCTGACTTTGTAGCGCTGGTGGCCTTGGATAATGTTGGATGTGGACGATACCACGGGATGTCCATGTGTTGATATACCTAGGTCACTTATTGATAGTATGTCCGCTGGTAGATGTGGTAGTTTATGTCATTATGTGGACGCGAACGGTAGCAAATGAGAGGAGGTGATCCTTACATTTGATGCGGCATTTGAGTCGGCTGATGTGTTCTATGGGTATAAAGTACCGTCGTGCCGTTCGTGGATTGCCATTTCAACCTCGTGCCCTTCAACGATAGCTTCAACACTCTTCGTTTCTGTCCGAAGGCGTACCTATGGCTGGATGGCTTGATGAGATTGATGGCTGTGGGACGATGCTCTGGATGTTTTTTTCTGTGTTGGCATACCTGATAGAAGTAGTATAAGTAAGTAGCATGAGTAAGTAGCCCAAGTGAGTAAGTATCTTTATCCCCCAAAACAATGAATGTCCTTTAATCCATATTAATAATAATCCCAAAGATTCGATCAACACGATACCACACACACCATAACTTACACCATAGCCTTCCTTTGTGCTTGCCACGCGCCGCAAGTGTAACTACTTCGCGCCGTGGACTTCCAGATACCGCCACACATCGAGCTCTGACCGCTATAAACGCCGTGGCCAGGGGAAGGAAAGATGACTGCAGACTGCCACGCACTGACAATAACTGTTGCGAGTAAGTGCCGCGAGGACTCCGGGAGATAAGGTAAGGTGCTCGTAATAGCGACCTCTAACTTGACGCACTCTGACAGCCGTCTTTCTTCTGCTGGCCAAGCCGTGCCATGCGCCGTCGTAGATCGAACGCACGTCGTGGGCTTTAGGTGATGAGGTGCTCGCGGAAGGGGAGTAACTACTCGTCTGCTCAGACTTTGGTGGATGATATGACGCGCTTTGGAGCGGTTCGTTTCTCTGCTAACTAGCGACGCCCTCGGGCCCGCCACTCGCCGTGCCATGCGCCGTGAATGGTGATGATGCTGTACTAATCGTCATGCGCGCCGTCGCCTTCAC